TGCTGAATGAAAGGATAATGTAAGGTTTTATTAACAATGAATAACTGTGGAAAACCACAGAAACATTCTTAACAGAAAACTTTTTTTTTTTTTTGGTAAACTGTTTTTAGGTAAAATTGGAGGGATTGAGTTAGATACAAGGATCATTGCTGTGATGTGTTCCAGCAAGAATTCTGATTCAGGCATGTATTCCCATGGGCCTTTCTAATGTGAGAGTGTAGGGAGAGATGAGCTACAGCTGACAAGGCTGTAACCCCCAGGTGCATGGATTTGAATAAGGTGGAGGTACAAGGGGAGCTGGGAGCTCCTGTGGTCACTCACAGTGCTGCTCCTGTGGCCCATCTGACTGATGGCTGGCACACACTTCTTCTAAGTAAATGCAATGATACAAGGTAGTGCATGACCTCTACCTTGGCTTGCATTGCTTCTCCCTGGCTGTCTATGTCTGCTACTCTGCTGCCACTGAAGCCTCCTTCCTCAAGAGACCACGTGTTGTGGTGGTGGTGATGCCATGGGCGGGATGGCTCCCACCACGTGCCATAGCCTGTCTGGGAGACAGGTTGTGCAAACAGAATAACTAGGCACAACCCACCAGGCACAGGCACTTGAAAGGAGAAGGAACTTCTTGGCTCCTGCTGCCCCTGGCTCTTTTGCACATTTTCCTAATCCACAGGACAGCTGTGAGCCAGGGACACTCACAGTCCTGCACCGACTGCTCTGAGGCCTCCTTGCCATAACCATTCCATCATCCCCTTCTCCATGAAAAGCTTCACGAGCTTTGCACAGAGAGGAGGCACATACCATGAACCCCTGCTGCACTGTGGCTTTCACTCAGTTCACTGATACTGTCCTGCTGTGAGCCAGGCTCTGCCACGGCCCCCCTACACAAACATCCACGCCTGCGAGCCACATTCCTGCCTGTGGCTGAGGTGCAAGGACTGCTGTCCTGCAGGGGCTTGTGCTTCCTCACCATGAAGTTCCCAGTGAAGCTGGCTCTGGCTGAACCTCAGCAGTGCCATACTGCTGTCAGGCAGCTGGACAGCAGCAAAAAGTCTGAGTGTAGCGGACACCTGAGAGAAAAATAAAGCACAGGAGCTCGAACACTGTCTTAAAAAATATCAGATGTGTTGTAGCCATCCTCATGGGTGTACAGGGGTTATAAGTGAGGACCATTCAGGACACAAAGGCAAGATGCAAATAGCAAAAAGGTCTGTGGCTGAGGTGAGCCATTAGTAAAACAATTAAAAAACAATAAAGAAAAAAAGAAATATGCAAAACTACAATTTCCAGTCCTGACAAAGTGAACCTTGTCCATTTCTTTACAGCAGCTTTAATCCATCAGACTTAGTCTATACATGAACACACTGAAAATATGGTGCCTGCATGATGTCATGGGATATCAGACTGACTCTTGGAAAATCCCTTGATTTATCATTTCACAGTTATGACTCAAGTCATATCAGGATCAGTTTATCTGCTGTTTAGCACCTTGCATGGGTTGTAGGCTCTGGGAGTTTCTCCCACCCACCGTATCAGTGGTTAGGAGCAAGATATTGCACTGTACACGCAAACTGCCTCAGGCATAGCTGTGCTGTAAATCACTGGCAGGTGAGAGAGGCATCACTTCGTGGGCTTTACACTAATCCATCCCAATCTAAACTGGTGACTTAATGGTACAGAAAGCATTACCGCTGCTTACGCTGCTATAAGCATGCATTTCTAGCTGAAGAAATATTACAACATTTATTTATCTGCACAGTACATTCCTTTTAACTACCTATAGCTATATAAATCCCTACAGCAATTATTGGTTACGAGGTTTTTACAGTGCTGTATAAATCTAGTTCCTGTTTTTAAATTCAGTTTCCATCATGGGATAATGTGTGAAGATTTCTCCTGTCTTAGGAGCAGTATCAAATACAACTTATGCTCAAAGGCTATGGCTCATGAAATCTACAGGGAATTTCAGGCAGAGGGAAGTACTCAACAGCGTTACAGCAAATATTTAACACCTCTGGCTCATCTGGTTACCACAACATTTTAAATCCATATCCATTCAGTGAAATCATTCTTAGTAACAGCTCTCAGGGATAAAAAATTAGGATCAGTTCAAGATCCTCAGGCACATACATCAAATAAAAGCAACAGAGAATTTCCCCCTAAACCTTACTGAAACTTCAGGAAAGACTTTCAGGCAATCTGAACTGCTGGATGGACAAGAAAGAAAAGCATTCATAAATTCTTTCTTTAGATCTAGACAGGTAATTCCTTCTGAAATTATTGAGAAAGCCATTCAAGATTCAAGCACTAAGAGACTACAGTTTGTTGAATAGACATTAATATACAACATTTAATTCATCACCATTTTGCTTAAATTTACCCATGAAAAACACTCACAGAACAAAACTATTCCGCATATAAAAAAGTATAGCTAGATCAGACATTTCTCATCAACTGAAACCAAATAGATCTAATTCAGGTTTCACACTCAAATCCACTTTCCTCACCCTTTCACACACACAAAATGCAAAACACCGAGGATAACATTCCTTTGTCATACCGGACCCTGGGAACCATGGAAACTTCTGTGATGTAGTGGCTGTGAGCATAAGTGATGCTCAAAAGATCAAAAATAGAATTATATAACAATACATCTCCAAAAACCCTACAACCTTCAACAATATTGTCTACAGACATCATAACTACTCTTGTTTTGCCACTACCTCTACTTCTCAGCCTGCTCACCCTTGCCTCAATGGTTCTGAGTGTACTTTGGTTTGATGTAAAGTATGTAAGATGAGTAATAACAAATCACTTAATAACTTCTAAAAGACAAAAAGTGTGTTCAAATAGAGTATCAGAGTTCACTGTGGACTTACAGCTCCCATGTTCTTAAAAGTCAGATCTGCTCTATTATTTTAAACAAGAAACAAGATCAAGGCAAAAATCCCACTTTCAGAGCTTGATTTTATTTCCTTCCTTTAGTATTTTTTTTTAAAGTGGTAGTGCAGTAAGCCAGTTTGGAGAGGTTTTGTCATTTGTTAACATAATTATCTTTTATCTACTCTGAATAGAGAAGTAACCTACAATGTTACTACTCATCTATCAAAATATAATATCATTTCCTCCAGGTTAGCCTGGAACATAGTAAGCTAGTGCTTTAAGGACTAAAAAATGAATTTGCAGCAAAAGGCAGAGGTATTATTTTTATACAGTAACTTATGAACAGGATCAGCCTAAAACACTCAAGAAGTTGCCTTTTTGGGGTTGTAATCTTGCACAGTAACTGCATTTTCCTACGAGGCACTGTTGAGCAAGGAAGGAGGAGAACAAGCAGAGCAGCCCCACTCCACTTATGCCAGCCAGTGTAAGGAGCAATGCAAACAGCCAGGCAAATACCTGTGTGTCTGAAGATGAACATCATCTTCCCCCTGTTAGTTTAGCTTTGGCATATCTGTCCAGATTCACATTTTGCTCAAGTCAACCCCATCTATGTGCAGCACTTACTGAGTCTCGCTCTCCTAAAGCGATACATGGGTCAGGGAAATTTCCTTTTTTAAAACCCTCCAGAGGGGTTGAGGGACTGATGATGGAACGGATGCACAGCTCAGTGCAGTCAAGCACACCTCACACCTAGGTAAGGAATACTTATTTTTCCCAGACACATCTGTATGTGTTACATACTGTAACACAGTATGATGCAATGCAACATTAGATTACAGTCATTAAAATGAAAAAGAAACGCTGGAAAAGTGAGGCTGAAATACAGCTTTCCTTTGAAACAACACTGTGTCTCCACATCTTAATAGAAACAAGATTACAAATTACTCACTTCATAAGAGAGCATTTATTTACCCCTCTTTTACCAGGAGATTTTAGAGAGTCTGACTGAACTGGATCAATTCAATTCCATTTCAATACAACAAAAAGGTATTCATCAACTCTGCCTTATTATTTTATTGTGAATTATGATGTGACATAGTATTTTTTGACTAGTAATAGGTCTGAGATCCCTAGATGTTCTCAGTGGTCTAATTTAGCTTTAAAATTCTACAATTCTATAAAACATGGCATGTAATCTGCCCTTCCCTTCCCTCTCTCAATAAAAAAGTGTAGAGGAGGATGCTTCTCAAAAACTGGGAAGCATTTTTGATGCCCATCCTTCCTTCTGTTGAATAATTTTCTCCTGAATTTCCTCTTTATCACTGATAAATGCACTTCATAGTCAACCGTTTTATAACCAGAAAACTGAGTTGAAACATGTACTAAGCAAACACCTCCACTTTCCTTTCAATATTATTTCTAGAATTATTTTTCTTTTAGTGTCTTTACATACCAAGTAAGATACTGAAAAAAAATTCAGAGAATCCTGGAGTGCCTGGATCAAGAAGTACTCCCATTCATCTCATCTTAGTCCTACTTATGGTGACAACGCTTGCTCCAAACAGCATCCCACAGTTTTTACATCTGCTTTGCCCAGCAGATGTTTACATATTTTCTGTTTACATCTGCTTTATTCTCATCCTTGTTAACATACTTGCAATGACGCATCGACCAAGATGATCCTGAAAACGCTGAGGTTCTGCCAATGCATCAGTGGTTTCATACATATATACATATGTGTAAGGTATGAGATGCACCGAGGACATGCACCGAGGAACCCTTTAACAGTAGACTACACTTTTCCTTAGCCCTTCACTTTAAAACACTCCTAAAGCCTTTAGAAAAAGTCTCATTTTTGAGACAGGAAGATTCTGTTGGTTAAATAAGTCTGTATTAGTGGGCTGCCATGGCATCTCCACATTCACAAGCACACGCTCCTGCAAAATCAGCTTTATGCACATTTTGCAGTATTTATCATGGAAATTACAAGTAATAATCAGCTGGTTCTCTCTGTATGCAGAGGACCCCAACCACCCCCATTAAATCAATGTAAAACTCTTTACAGTGGCACTGCAAGAGTAGACAAGAGACACAACAGGTTCACCAGAGCACTGTACCTGGTCAGCAGCGGGAATCGACTCCCACCTACGCTTCAGCAAGTACAGAGATTTCCGGCTCATGGTTTCGGATCTGCTCTAGAGGCTTTTCCAGACTTGAGAAAAAGGCTTCTCCCAAACCAGTGTCAAGAACCTTATTTCTGACTCCTGTGTTTCATTGCAGATGGCAGAGTTCCCCGATGTACACGAGTTTTTGTGAGCTGCAAGGTCGAGACCGGTTACACCCGAGCTTCTCACGTTTCTCTAAAGCATCTGTCTCCTCACAGTGCCACGACAAAGGGAGCCAGTGGAGACAGAGAACAGCCCAGCTTCCACTGACGAGCCACCTCGTAAAAGCCTGAAGTAGGTAGACAACACCAGACGCACTCAATCTGAAAATAGCTGTTGCTTAGGAACTGGAGGGGTAAAATGCAGCACCTCAGATATATAATTGAGAGCTTTTATATTTAAAGAGAATTAAAAGCGCTGGACCCGTGTTTCTCTCTCATTCTTTTACAATGCCAGAGGAACGATCGCTCGATTCCACTGACTCCTGGGGCTACGCCTACATCTCCAGCAAGCCAAACAAGTCCTGATGACAGAGCAACAAATTACTCCCACACATTCAAGGTCCCTTGTAAAAACGTGTGCACAAAGCGTGCCGCATATCCCACCTGAAACATCTCAGAAGTATCAAGTACTGTGCTTTAGTAGAACGATTAAAATACAATTTGCATAATTTTTCTGCAGAGCAATAATATGCCAAGGATGAATTCTGCTAGTCACATTTTCTTGTAGCATGTGCTGACATTACAAATGGGTATGAATATTTTCCCCTCACATGAGTGACATGATGTAGTTCTACAGACTGCACGTGTGTATTTGAGAGAGATTTCTTTAGGTCGATTAAATGTTTAGGAATTTCTTTAATTTGGAATTCAATTTTGAAGTTCCATGCCTAAATTCTAAATTTTAGCCTGTATTAAGTTTGCAAATTAAGGATAGAACAGAATCAAATTCACTTTGCCCTTTCTGTTTGATTTCAAATCCATAGAGTAAATTCTCTGCGTGAAGCACTTACAGAAGGAAGTGTTGTCTTCAGAGAAGAAAAAGGGAAGGAAAAAAAACCCAAGTAGATAGCCAGGAACTCATTGATCTTTGCAAGGCAACCTATAATTCACTCCAATTACAGCAACCTTAATAGTATAATTATTCTAAAAGAAAAGGAATCCTACAACATACACACATACAGATATATATGTATGTGTGTGTGTGCACGCATGCAACATATTAAAAAGGGAAGTGTAATGACAGTGTAGAAGTCAGGAGCAAGTTAAATATTGTAAAGACAGCTTTTTACTTGTCCCATTTACATTCTATTGAATTGCAGATGCTTATCACGAGACAAACTCCTGCAAACAGAAATTCCCACAAGCCTCGGTGTATTTCATTTGACATCCATCGCTACCTGTAACTAAAGCACTTTGCATTTAACTCCTACATGCAGAAAGGAACACGTTTTCCAAGTGGGGCATTAAGAAGTATGACATGCACTGTAGTAGTTTGCTCTCATGTTTCAACACATGCCATAGAAAACCTACTTGCTCTTAAAAAAACCTTCACTGGATCAGAGCTTTTTCAATGACTCTTGGAAGAATAACTTTATGAGTTCGTATGTGGATTTTAGTTTTGCATTATAGTAAACCAGTGGTTCCACTTTCTGTTCTCACAAGTGACATTTCTAACATCCACATACATAGGTGGCTTCCTAGGATCTATTTTACCACTTTCCCCTCATTACTCCGCATGAATTAAAAGATCATAGAAGATTAATAAATTGCCTCCCAATAACCTAACCTTAAATCCCTTCCTGCTCCTTACTCTCCCCTCACTGCTTGCTGGGCAGCACAGGTTGCACTACCACTGTCCAGGAGAGACCTCTTCTCCCAAGTCCCATTTCTGTGCTGATGGAAAGCCCTCCTGACCTAGGGAAACACCATAAGCAACCCTGTGGCAGATCCTGCAGGTAACTGCCACTTTAAACACCTGATGTGTTAGGTTTGAAGCAGAAGTATACCTAACACATCCCTCACCTTCATTTTTAAGCAACATCTTGTTACTGGTACATTTATTAAAGACACAAGCTGGCAACAATGCAACAGAACCACAAAAGAATAAAACAGGTCTTTTATATTAAGGGCAAAAATCAAAATCTTCTAAATTTTTCATAGCCTCTCAGGGAACTACTTAAATTAGGTTTAACACTCTTTCTATCAAGACAATTTTCAGAGCCATGTAAAAGAGATAATCTGAGGCTACAGTGGAATAACTGAGGTTTATTTTCTTCCCTCTAATGAAACTTCTCTTCCTTGCTTCTTGTGACTGGGTACTAGGATAGCACGCAGTAATCAGAGAGCTTGAGTCATTTTGGGATTCTTTATCAGGAACTGTAGTGATAGGACAAGGAAATGGCTTTGAACTGAAAGAGAGTAGGTTTAAATTAGATGTTAGGAAGAAATTCTTTATTGTGAGGGTGGTGAGGCACTGGAACAGGTTGCCCAGAGCAGCTGTGGATGCCCTATCACTGGAAGTGTTCAAGGCCAGGGTGGATGGTGCTCTGAGCAACTTAGAATCATAGAATCATAGAATAGGTAGGGTTGGAAGAGACCTCCAAGATCATCAAGTCCAACCCCTGATCCAACTCCAATTACTATATCATGGCACTAAGGGCCACGTCCAATCTCTTTTTAAAAATCTCCAGGGATGGTGAATCCACCACCTCTCTGGGTAGGCCGTTCCAATGTCTGATAACCCTCTCTGTAAAGAGAGGGTTGGTTTAGTGAAAGGTGTCCCTGTGCATGGCAGGGGGTTTGGAACAAAATGATCTTTAAAGTCCCTTCCAAACCCAAACTGTTCTATGATTCTAGGATGTTCTTTTCCCACCTTGTTATAGATCCTTTAACATTTCTATGGCATGTCTGGATTGTTGTACAAAGTATCCATATAAAAATCCTTCACCTGATGTAAAAGCAATTCCAAAATACCAGAGCCCTAACCTATATAATTCAACACTAGATGGGAAAGACTGCTTTACCCAAGCAGGAAAATTCCTGAACACCAATATTGGTAGCAAAGTCTCATTCACAACAATTGTAATTCTATAGATAATTAAAAAATGTATCAGGTGATGCCATTTACACTCTTAGCAAAATTTCCTTTCAGTGATGTGTCAAGGACAAACCAGTAGCTACACATGGCTTTCCCGCACCTCCCCACACAGTTCTAACACCTTATTCAATAACAAAAAGATTAGTGGTGAGAGGGCTATCCAAGTTTTACAAGTTTGTCAGGTTTCAAAAAAAAAAAAACCAGCAAACACAAAACATACACATATTATTTGAAACTGCAACCCTTTGATGTCCTGATGGAGACAGCTGAGCAAGAAATGCTTTCTCAATACATCTAATCCATCTTTCTGCTACTTAAAGAAACCTTCTGTTGCATGTATCAGCTCTGTATGAATCACCTGTTTGGATTACAGCTCAAAAATTATATTAATGAAAGCTGTCATGGTTTTATGCTTTGTTCCATTGATTCAATCCTGCAAATATTAACAAAACGAACAACTTTGCCAATATCAGATGGAAAACTTTCCCGAATGCCTCAAATTTACCAAAAGCCAAAATGAAACACAAGATGCTGAGTAACTGACCTGTGAGCCTCTGGGTCCTCGTTTGTGATCCCATTCAGAATGCCCCATGAGCTGAAAACCAAAGAAAGCAGAGGTAAGAGATAAATTGCACTTATTAGCTTTAATTGAAACATTCATGCTTTTATATCCATGACACATTTTCTTTAAAAAAGCAGATTAGGTTTCACCATTTATTTCACACAGCTTTTAGCTTCGTAATGAGGATGAAAAGATTTGGGAGTTGTTACTATCACATTGTATCTTTACATTCAGAGCCAAAACACATTTGGCATCACATCACTGCTCATGCCAATAAAATTCCCACTGCCATAGATTAAACTTTAGCCAGATGTTTAATGCTGATCTGGTAGAAGGACAGATGATATATCAGCAAGGAAATTACCAAAACTGGGGGACATTTGATTAAATAGCACTGTATGTTTTATACCAAGTACGATAGTTAGTGACAGCTTTAGATCTGTTTCTCCACTGAATTATGCCTTTTTTTTTTACAGCTACTCAGAGATCTCTTCTGAATAGTGTTTGTTCCTATGCACAGAAGCATTGCTTAATGCAAATATAAAAACATATGAATGAACGACAGGAGGATTAATGTGACATGTAATGACTTACACTTATTAATATTTTCTTGCTCTTTTGTCCCAACATTCTTTCCCAAAGAAAATGCCTTCTCCCAGGTCAGAGGAGGAGATTTACAACCTACGCTTATTGCAGAACATGTTTCCGAAACACTCATTCCAAGACAAGAGATTAAAACTCCTCTGAAAAATGAGGAAAGCTGCATGCATCTCATATGATGAGGTTTTTTTATCTTCTCCATCAACTGTTCCTACTTACCCTTTCCTTTTCCAAGGAAATTTTAAGTTATTAACTATCTACCTCCATAGCTGGAGACAATGCAGATAGGCATCAAAGATCAGAAATGTCACACCATATTTTTACCTGATACAGCCTCATGACTGGCCCCCTCATTTTAGTGTAATTATTTCCTTTTCCATATACTGTTGGTGGAAACACTGGCTGTGCCAGGTTTCCCTGTTTACTCCTCTATACTGTTATGTTTGGTCACTACTGGTACAAAACCAAGATTTGATGTTTATGAAAGCTGGCCTCTCAGTAAATAACTGGCATGCAAAAACTACAAAGAGATGCATCTACCAAGGGTTATATTTTCACAGAATCTCAGCCAAAACCCTCATACCTGTGCTTCCTCCAAGGTTCCTGAGAAAACCTCTTCAGTTTTACTCCTCAGCCCCCATGCCTTGTGAGGAAGTAACTCCCACTTTCTTAATTTACTTGGCTAAAGGAAAATTAATTTAGCTTGAGTCTGACCACCTGTGATTCCCAGCATGATAAAGGATATCTTTACCTACAGCTTCCTACCAGTGAAATTAGCACAAAAAATAAGCCTGTTATTTCACACTTAAGGAAAAAGTATTAATGTTACAGGTCTGCCTATGATCACTGTGGTTCTCCAGGCTCTACAGGCATTTGGCAGCACATAACACACCTTCAAAACCAAGTGTAGCATAAGAAAACTCCTTCCAGGTTTTGCATGCTCCTACCCTCACTGAATCCATAATTCACTGAAAGCAAAGGGCTGCTTTATTATTGCCACCAAAAATAAGCAGTACAGTCAAGGGTCAAGCTTGGCATTGTTGTTCCCATTAGAGGAGGTACACCAAATGTAGGGATGCTCCCGGTCAAACCAGTCCCAGGAAACCATACTGACATGATCTGGGGCGGTTACTCATGGTCACCACTCAAT